TTTGGAAGTCAGGCATATACAATACTTGGCTGATTTTCTGCCAACCAATTGGTTCTAAGACTGACATGATTTCTAAAATCATAAATTGGTCCTGTCATATTAATTTAGGCAACAAGATACTGTGTTCATTCTTACTGGTTACCAAATCTAATATTAACCCTCTTATACATGTTAGCAAAATACGTATATACACAAAAGAAAATAATCTTTAAAAATAAATTAAGCAAAATAAAATTAGTGTGTTTAGGGAGCTTTTTGATGTAACCAAAAATAAAAATTAAAAAGGGAAGAGCCAGTTACTGGTTCAACATTGTCATTAAATGGGTATATTAAACTACAGCAGGTTACTTTACTAATAGGACTCTTAACGTACTCATGACAAAATAAATTTTAGGCTTTACCTTAGTATCTGTCTTAAATAATCAGGCAAATATATCTATATCCCTTTATAAGGTATTTCTCCATACCTTGTGGAATATAGCAAAGTTGTATGGATAAGTTTTCAGTAATATCTACAAAGTCAGGCAAATATATCTAAGTCCCTTTACAAGATATTCCTCCCTACCTTGTAGAATATCTACAAAATTGTATGGATAAATTTTCAGTAATAATTTTAGAAACTATTAAATTTTCTTACATGAATCTTGATGATCATCTCAACACACTATTCGTATTCAAAGCAACATAAAATTTATATACTTATAAAATGAATCTATTTCTGTAAAAAAATGGTTCTATCCTCTACATTGCAAATCTGTCCAAAAACAAGAAAACAAAATATTCTTAATTCTTTATTTACAAATGAAGTTAGTATATTTCACTTTTTCAATACCTTTATTGTGATATGACACATATACAAAAAAACAAAAAACACTGTAGAGTATCTTTGAATAGTGCCTAGTACAATGATATGGCATGGATATAAAATGCAACTTCCCAGCCCCTGGCATTTGTTGAAGGCTTGCTTGGTCCAAAGATGAGACTTTGATAATGAATGAATCACAGGAGCTCTGTCTTAATCCATGGACTACCCTACTGATGGATTAAGAATTCAATGGCACCGGTGGTGGTGGTGGTGGTGGTGCACGCCTTTAATCCCAGTGCTAGGGAAGCAGAAGCAGGTGGTTCTCTGTGAGTTTCAAGCCAGCTGGGTCTACAAAGTGTGTTCCAGGACAGCAAGGGCTACTCAGAGAAACCCTGTCTTGAAAACCAAAAGAAAAGAAGAAAAAGACAGAAAGAAAAGATAATTTAATGACATTATTGAGAGGTGATAGAAAGCAGGAATGTGTGGGGCCTCCTTGGAGGTGGTGTTCCCTTAAAATGAATATCTCATCCCTGGCAAGTGTCCTTTCTCAGTTTTTCCTTCTTCCTTCCATTCCTCCCTCATACCTCTATCTCCCTCTGAACCTCTGTCTCTGCTTGATGGCTTCCCAGAACAGCTCTCCTCTACCACACCCTTATACCACATTCTGTCTTGCCACTCTCACAGGGATGAAGCCAAGCTACCCTGGTCTGAAATATGAGTCTATGAGTAAAAATAAACCATTCTCTCTTTAAATTGTTCTCAGGTGTAATTCTTCATAGACATGTTTATGCATATATATATAATAATGGCACAAGTGAAGAAAAAACACTATTGAATGAATGTGACATTCTTCTTATTTTAAGACATTCCACTTAATAAACCTAAAATTTCAATAGAGTAAAAAAATCCACAGAAAATTAGTAGCCAATTTCATTATGGAATTATACAGAGCCAAGAATGAACCCCATAGTTTTGGATTAATCACATCACAACTGTAACTATTCTATTTCCCTAACTTAAAATCATTCCCTAGAGCAGCATATTCACTGTGGAGAAACAAGGAAAAGCATTCTGCTTAGAGAAACAAATGTCACTGCTGACTAATTTATTCCCTGTGTGACAAGTGGCTATTCCAGGAAGAGGCTGGGGAGGATGTCCATGAAGCATGAGCGACTGTTTATGGAATCTGATTCATCCGGTTTTGGGAACTGAGCCTATTTTTAATAAAAATATAGTTATTCCATATAAAGCAATAACAACTACCAGTATGCCAATAACTCTTGTTTGTATACACACTGAATCAGGGTACATTTTAGGTAGGTGAGTAATGTTTTTTAAATAATATCATAATGTTATTTTTAATATAAGAATCAATAATAGTGCTTATGAAAATAATATATGCATCATTAATTAGATAACTACATTTTGGGGTTTTTTGGCTTGGTGTATGTATATAAATGTATGTGTGTACATACTTAATTTACATGTGTGTAAGTGCAAGTGTATGCATACCACAGCAAATATGTGGAGATCAACCACAGCAAATATGTGGAGATCAGAGGACAACCTCAGGTATTGGTCATCATGTGGCATCTTGTTTAAAGCAGGGTTCCTCTTGTGTGGTTTGCCACAACAAGCTCACTGTCCTGCACGCTTTGTGGATTCTTCCATTGACATCTTACAACTCACTGCAGGAGCACTGGGGCTTCGGGTACAAGATGTGCTTGAGCTCTTTGTGTCCGAGGGACTCACGCTCACATGCCCATGCTTGCCTGGCCAGCTCTGGGTGGCTGTCTTCTCAGCCATATAACTCGCATTAAACTTATAGTAAAATTTTTTTCAAACCTTGGTATGGAACACAAAGAGATTTGGGCTATTCTTTTGAATAGACATAAAATATTTGTTCATAATTTATAGGACGTAGTAAAATTCAACAATTCAATACATGTATACAATGTGTAACGATCAAGCAAGAGTGGTTAGCATTTCTATCTTCTCAGTGAGAATTTTAGCTGACTGAATCTTGAAGAAAATAATGAGATTATTTATAAACATCTTTCACAAAGAGCTGATGAATTTTAATTTAAAATTCTATTCATATTCAATTACAAGGTTTTGTTAGTGCAGAGTTCAAAAGAACTACATAACAGAAGATATTCAAAGTTACCCAATAGCCAATACTAACAAATAAAGAACAGGTAAACTATTCCTATAAAAATGTCATACTATCTAGGACAGCCAGAGCTATACAGAGAAACCCTATCTTAAAAAAAAAAAAAAAAAAACATACTAATCAGCAACAAAAAGGACACATACAACAATAATGTTCTACCTCAAAGTCAAACTGAATAACCATGCATAGTAGTACATGGCTATCATTCCAGCACTCAAAGAGGCAGAGGCAGAGGCAGAGGCAGAAGCAGGTAGATCTCTATGAATTAGGGCCAGCATAGTAATATGCAAAAAGAGAGTTTCAAGCCAGCCACAGTGACATAGTGAAAGTCTATGTCAAAAGAGGGGTTCAGGAAAAAGAAAAAGAAATAAAGGAGGAAATAAAAAAAGAAGGCCTTACTTAAAAAAAAAAAAAAGTCACACATATTCAAAATTCTAGCATAAGAAATTAGAACAAAAACCAAAACAAAACAAAAAAAACCCAAAGACCAAATCAAAAAAAAACACTCAACTATAAAAAACTCCAGTAATTTAGGGGGAAGAATTCTGAAACTTACTTTGAAATTAATCCAAAAATAAAAAGACAAATTAATGAATTGAATGGATTGAAGACAAAACATGATAAATAAGTACAATAAAATAAAAATGAGAAAATCCAGAGGTGAGTTATGTAGATGAATATATAGTATATGCTTAATTTTCCCATAGTTTCAATTTAATTTTTCAGATAAAATTAAATGTTAGAAATTATTTTTTCATAATACATTTCAAGAAAAAAATCATTAGTATAGCTCTAAAAATGAAGGTGAACTGTATCTTGGACAGTTCTAAATAAACATTAACTTCTAAATAAACATTAAAACAAGTTGAATACCAGCTATTTAGTATACTACATAGAAAACAATACATAATGTACATGTATTTATAAATGAAGACTAAATTAAGTAAATCAAGATTGACCTGAGTTAGATACGAAGATAAAATGGGTACAGGGTGTTATGCCTCTCTTCTGTAATCCCTAACCCCAGCACCTGGCGGGCAGCATTACCCTGAATTCAAAAGCAGCCAGGGCACATCATGATACTTTGTCAGCCTGAACTACAAAGTGAGAACTTTAGTACAAATAATTAATTAATATAATGTCTTTAATCTAGTATACTAAGAAAATTTCCAAGAAACTTGGGGAAAATCAATATAATTGTAAATGGGGTAGAGACCATTAATATGCAGAATAAGTAATATGGTGTAACCTAATTAATATTAGAATTAAAGTTAAATCCAGTTCTTCCTTTTACAGTATTGATGTTGTCTGTTTATATAATATTCAACATTACAAGCATGTTCTTTACTGAGTAATGGGGAAAATAGACCATCTTAAATATACATGCATACATACATACATACATATACAAAATGTAAAGCTTCCTTCTTTAGAGAACCATATTTAAAAGATTGGCATAAGTTTCAAATTTCCCAAACAAATGATTTGTAACTAATATCTGACAGTGCTTGTCAGATGGCAATCTTTAAAATGTCAAATAGAAAAAAATGTCAAAGAAAATATCCCAGCTCCCTATAGTATTTTTCAAAATTAAAAAAAAAAGGGAGTCTAAAAGAAGTACAATAAAAAAAATGCAAGAGTATTCACACTTCATGCTTCATGTTTGACATAATTTATCGTAAACAATAACCAGGTATTTGCTTTTGTATAAAACTAAAAACCATGTCTCTTTATCTTTAGGAAGTGCTAGAGAAAGCACCTGCCATAAACAACAAAATTAACCATGCATTTCATGTGTTATCCAGGGAAAGAGAAAGAAATGTGTGTTTCAAACATACATGTTACCTGGAAAGTGAAATACAATGTGAAATATTTCAATGAATATCACAAACAAGTACCCAAGGGTTCATCTGAGATAGCACAAATTATACAGTGCAAATTAAACTAAGCCAACTATGATTACAGCTATAGTGCGTGCATATAAAATTTTAAATCAAGTGGCTTACATACATCTACTTCATAGAGATCTAATGAACTTACAATTCCTTGTGCTTGTCTTCAGCCAAGATCTGGTCATTTGGTTTCAGCGAATACCTGCAGCACACAAATTAACACACTAGTCAGATAAACATACAGACATAATTGCTTCAAGATTCATTTAACTGCATGTCCTCCAGTCCAGCTGGAATGTACAATCTGTTGAATTCTATCAAATGAGCTCTACAACACTGGTGTATGTCTCTGACTTAATTGACAAAACATCAAGAATATCCAAGCAGCTGACTCTTTACTATCATTAATCACTTCCTCTGACAATACCCCAGGGCTTGAAGGCATTAAGCTGACAGCGTACTGAAACAAAAGGTATCTTGGGTAGTCCTCTACAGTGAGTCACATGTAACAGTACTCTCTTCCAGAAGTTTCAAATTCAAAGACTAACTCCAGTGTTAAGAATTTGAAAAGTTCACAAAACAATGTGATTATTCATCCATTAACTACACAATAAACATTTACCACATACCAAGCTATGTACTAAATGAGAGTGTCTCGAGTTTTCATATTCACCCCTGCTATGCCTCCCTCCCACTCATACACATACATGCTAAGCAAGTGCCCATTTTCCCTTTCACTCTGAGAAAGTATCTCACTCAGTTGCCTAGGCTGACCTTGACCTATTGTGTAGTCCAGGTAGATTTTGAACTTTCAGTCCTCTTGTCTCAGCCTCCCAAGAAGCCAGGATTATTAGCCTTCACCACCAGGCCTGGCTGAAGGTTTTGTTCCTGCTGTTAGTAGATATGGGTGGGGAACTGGTATACGTGCACATGTGCATGTGAATACACATGCCTATACACACATGATTAAGTGGCCAAGGGAAGGTGCCAGGTATCTTCCTCTATTACTCTATCTTATTCCTCTGAGACATGACTATCCCTGAACTAGCATTGTTTTGTTTTTTTTTTTTTTTTTTTTTTTTTTCCGACTAAACTGGCAGCAAGCAAGCCCCAGAGATCCTCCTGTCTCTGGTCCCCATAGGGCTGGCTTTACAAGTGGTCATGAGCCTCAAGTCAGCTTGTTATGTGGGTAAAAGGACCAAAAATCAGGTCCTAATTGCATAGCGAGCACTCCAATGAGCAGGGATTTTCAACTCACCCTTTACTAGCTTGCTGACCATGAACACAACCATACTCCTTTATCTCAGTTTTTCTATCTACAAACCATAGGTTGCTATAAATGTTATAACAGGCTCATTTGTACTGCTGAAGATGAAAAGACTTTTCTTCTGAAGTCTTCACAGAAACAGAAAACCAACAACATCCAGGTCATCAATTCCATTGCTCAAGCCTGTTATGTTTTCTCTCTCTCCCATAACAAGAGAACAGATGTCTAAGTAGAAAAGTAAAGTTGATTTTATTTTTTTCCTTCCTCTTTCACAAATACTAGACCTGTTTGTTTTGAATGGACCTGTATTGTACTGCCCAAGATTAAAAACAACAACTCTGAGGTTCTAAACAAAGAACAGTCCATAATATTTAGCACATAAACAATTCCTGTCTGGCCATGGTGGTACACGCCCTTAATCCTAGCACTTGGTAGGCAGAGGCAGTCAGGTATCTTTGAGTTCTAGGCCAGCCAAGGCTACACAGAGAAAACCTGTCTTGGGGCAGGGTGATTGGGTGATGAGGGCATGGGGATGGGGAGGCTCTTTAAAGCACTACAAAATAGGGGCTGGAAAGATGGCTTAGCAATTAAGAGAACTGGTTGTTCTTCCAGGGATTCTGAGTTCAATTCCCAGAACCCATATGATGGCTCACAGCCATCTATAGCGGGATCTGATACCCTTTTCTGGAGTGCAGGCATACATGCAGACAGAGCATTCATACATAAAATACATTTTTAAAAAATTTTAAGGCACTACAAACTAACTATAGATCCTTTTGTTACATTATTTCTGTAAAGAATGAAGTTACAAGTTAGACATGTGGAACTCTGGTCATAATGTTCTATTTTTCAAGCCCTCCAAGAGTGGAAAAGAAATTGACAATTTTCATCTAAAAAGTTTGTCTGTGCTGTGTTAATAAAGAATGTATTACATTTCAGGAAAAGTTCTATTAAACAAAGCTCAGAGAGTTTCAAAATATAAACAGTTTACATTTATTTGTCCCAGGGTTACAAACTAGGGTTCTGGCTCTCTTCTATCTAACAAGGATTAAATATCAGAAGACAGGCCATAGGGGTTCTTAGTTACTCTTCCTGTTGCTTTGATACTCTGACAAACCTAAAAGAGAAAAAAGGGTGTATTTGGGCTCACATTTGAGGATCATTTACCATGTCACAGAAGTGATGGTGGCAGAGCTATTACTGGCCACAGTGTAAGAGCAGTTAGCAAGCAGGAAATAACGGTCACTCTATTACTAGCACTCAGCTCACTTTCTCACTTTTAATCAACCTGGAACTGAATTCCATGGAATAGTGTCAAAGTTAAAGTAAGTCTTCCCAGCCTGATTAACCTAGAGAATCTCTCACAGGTATGCCCAGGGGCTGGTCTCCTAAGAAATTCTAAACTCTGCCAGGCTGATAATTAGTATTATCTGTTACAGGGTTATGAGCACTTGCCTGGAATGTGTGAAGCCCTGGGTTAAACAGAGATTCTTCCAGCATCAACACACTCATTTGCATACACAAACATGCCAATAATTAAAAATGAAGTCAGACTCTTTCTATCCTAAGAGCAGATCTGATTAGTCTGACATGGAAAACCACCTTTCCCAGAGAGGATGGAAACATCCTTAAAATTGAGGGTTTTGTTTGTCTGGTTTTTGGTTTTGCAAGAAAGGGTTTCTAGTTATCCTAGAACTTATTCTATAGATCAGGATGGCCTCAAATTCACAGAGATCCATCATCACACCACCTGGTGATTATTTTTTAATGAATGTTTACTCATAACTGTTTAAAACAATTTGTCAGGACAAAACACACTGAAATCAACAATATCACCTCTTCCTCAACACTTTGTGAACTATTCAGGCAAACATGATGCCTCCAAGAGAAAGACCAACAGTGGGTGTGACCTAGGAAACCCTTCTTGTAAGGGGAAAGGGCCAACAAAAGAAACACACCCTGAGCAGAGCCAAAGAAACACTTTGGCCCTGCAACCAGAACCAAAGAAATGTGCCCTAACCCTGAAACCAGTGCCAAAGAAACACACTTTACCCCTGGAATCAGAGTCAGTGAAAAGGCTAAAAGGGACCAGTGAAAGAAACACACTTTGGCACTGAAACCAGAGACAAATCTGACCCTAAACCTGTGCAAAAAAAAGAAACAACCAATCCCTGAGCGTGAGATCTAGCCAGTCTGACCTCAAGGATTGGAATCTAACCAATCCCCACCCTGGAAATCTCCCTGGGAAAACTCCACCCCCTAAGAAGCGCTATATAAAACCCCTTGGCTGTTCAGCCCCCCCAGCTGTCCTCTGCCACCCTGCTCTGAGTGCCAGAGTCCCTGTCCATCCCATACGAGCCGCCATCAAAATGTTTACACTTCTCTCAGTTATCTTCCTCATTGCTGTGGAAAAAAAAAAAACCTGTCCAAAACAACCCTCAGAAGGAAAGGTTAACTTGGCTCACAATTTGAGGACATTCATCGTGTTATTGGGTTGAGGATGACATGGCAGTAGGAGTGTGAGGCAGCTGGTCACATGCACAAATAGGAAACAGTGAAAAATGATTATACTCAGCTTGCTTCCTCCTTTTTATGCAGTACAAGTCCTCAGACCATGGAATGCTACCACATTCAGGATGGAATGGAATATCTGGTCTCAATTAGCTATGCCCTAGGTTTGATGCCCAGCATGGGGGATGGGGAACGGGAGGCAAGAGCCTTAAAAACTTTTTGAAGTATACCTTCCCTAATTCCAGTCTCTATGACTTTAATCAGCTATCCTGGTGGCTTCTAAGTTTTACTTTCAACAATACTGAAAAGTTTACTCAAATTATCAACTGATGTGTCTTTTGTATGGCAGTGTTCAAATAACTGGTGCTGCTGAAAATTCTATGACTCCAATAAACAATGGGACCAGACTGCTCAGCTAGTACAAGTGCTAGGACAGTGGAAAAGGTAAAGTCTGCATACGCCTGTAATCTTAACACTGAGAAGGCAGAAGTGGGTCTAAGTGTGCAAACTCAGCAAGACTCTGTCTCAGAAAAAGTTTTGACAGGGAAAATTAGGTTTTAACACTTGCCTAGAGTTGGCAAAATCCTGGGCTCAACCCCCAGTACCACACACACACACAGAAATCCTGAGCATTATTCATTGCAGTGAAAGATTAAACCTACTAAACAAATATTTTAAAAACAGTTTCACACATTAAAAGATGTATTTCTGGCCATTGTTTTCTTTTATCTAATTACTCACACTTTTTGTGGTTTTACTAGGTGAAGACTATAATATAATGAGTGGGAGATGCTTTAGAATTAAATTTACATATATATTTTTATTGCAGAAACAGGGTGATCAGTAAATTACATAAGGATAAAATCTGATGAGTAAAAATACAATACAATTTAAGAACAAAAGGAATACAAAGTTTTAAGAAGGAAAAGGAGCTTATGTATTTCTGTAAATGTAGGTGTATAAAATCACTGGTAATTAGGATTCACTAAAAAAGTGACTCATCAGTTTTATTCAGTTATAAACCAAAAATACTAATATGTATGAAAGCATCTGGTTTTTTGTTTGTTTGTTTTTTATTTTTGGTTTTTGTTGTTGTTTTTCAAGACAGGGTTTCTCTGTGAAATAGTCCTAGCTGTTCTGGAACTCACGCTATAAATCAGGCTAGCCTCAAACTCACAGAGATCCCTGCCCGTGTTGGGATGTGCCACCAATGCCCAGCGAATCTGTTCTTTAAATCATGTGTATGAAATATGAACATTTAAAAATCTGAAGTGGCTACATGTGACATTGGCAAGTCATATGACACATCATACAAGAGGCATCTACTCAATGTTAGTTTCCTTTTTTGCTCAGCTAAATAAGAAAGAAATAACAAACTCCTTTCTTGCCTTTTAGGACCTCAAATTCAGTAAGCAAACAAAAAA